AAAAATATTTAAACTGACAAATTCATAACCCAACCAAAGTATGAAACAAATTCTCATTCATAGTAACTAAGATAGCACAGTAAACTCCATAGCAAGATTTTACTATAAGCCAGTGACATACTAACCATTACAAAAATGGAGTTAAAGACTCCACTTAACTCAGTGTGGATATTGTGGACAAAAATATAAGGTAGTTCAAAAAGAACACATCAATTCAATGCTCCATCTGTGTCACTAATTGTAATCTAACCAAGTTACATAAATGGACATAAGAGACATACATCTGTGTTGTTGCAATGTAATCCAAGACAGGACTGTATCAAAACATACCAACTAGACAAGAATGAAAAATATAAAGTATATACTAACATTAGCAATAAATTCTCTCTCATAACTGACACCTAATTTCTTTCATTCCTTTGAGTAAGATGTATGAAATTGTTCTTTTCTTAATGAGGTGTGAACAAATATCAACCAAGGAAATGTTTCATCAAATGGCACTGACTGCCAGGGACTGATTATCAAGCAAGACATCAGCATTATAACTCAGTAAATGTCTTTGCAGGTACTGATACTGGACAGGATGGATGTTGAATCTCTATAATTCAAGGCATTATTGGATTCATGATGACATGGTCTAGAAATGACAGGAATCACAGGAAGTTTCAGGAGATTTTGTAAATATGACTAGCATACAATAGTATATGAACAACAGAGAGAATGCTCAGCTTCTGGCTCAATGTTGCATGTGAGACTGCCCTACCCTACACTAGACAGTGAAAGATGTAATGTCCCATGATACAACTCAAAGTCTAAATGATATGGAACACTTATAACCTTCTAAACTTTTGTCTTATTATGGAAGTTCTGATGAAATCCATTTTGTCATACGTATAGCTTGTTGACACATGGTCTGGTCCAGCTGTCCAGGAGAAAACAGTCCCTGGAAATATTTCTGCCATGGATATGAATGAAATCATGACACCTGAGGATGGAGAACCTAATCTTCACAACATGTTTTCAGAAAAGTTTTGATCAAAACTTTTTAGACCTCAGATGTATAGCTCGAGGCCAGAATTTTCCCAATGTATCCAGGGAGCATGACACAAGATGAATGGAAAGGAATTGTTGAATATAATTAAGTAGATCTCCAAACAGCAGTCACCTTAAAACAGACACGTAGATGTAAATGTGTGTGTGTGTGTGTGTGATGTCTGTCAGCATAAAAAGCAGATTTCACAACTGCTCTGGCTTAGATCCTAGCAGACATGAAGAATCTGCATGGTTTCACTATTTCCTTTTTGCTCCTGAAGTTTTCTCTCATCTTGTCCTGTTTGACTGAACCCCTTTGCTTTTGGAGGATAAAGAATAGTGAAGATAACGATGGAGATTGGAGAAGTGACTGCGGTTTTATGCTTTCGGCAATGGAGGGAGCTGCTGACTATAATTACAGTGGCATTTTTGATTTTAGGTAAGTCATTAACTTTGTTTCCTGCTTCAATGTCATGAACTAGAAATATTTAGCTGTGTACACAAACTGTAGGGTTCCGTCCTGTTCTTCCCCCTGTAACTTCAGGAACTACTGAAAATTAATTATTACATCAATGACTATTTTAATACTTTGAAATGTGTCATAGTTTAGTTTAGCTATACTATGTTGAGCTCCAGTTCACAGCACTGGACAATGAGAGAGACTGGATTCTGTTGAGTGTTTGTGGATATCATGTGTTGAAAGATGTCTCTTCATCTACCTTGAATTCACAGTTCTCACCTTGGGAAGAGCTCAATGTGAAGAGACTACAACATTGCCTGTATTCTACTGTCTGTAGTTGATTCTTGTATGAGCACGCATCTAAATGCCTACAGAAAAGGTTATCAAATTTTGGTCTCCAAAAGTTGGGCATACATTCAGACATTGAAATATTGGTGTATGTGTGGGTCTACTGTACCAGATTACATGAATAACATTATCTATAAACTTGTGATATAACTTGTGATATAATGTAATATAACAGTACATATATACTTTGCTTTTTAAAATAGTCTTTAAATGAGTCCCTCCTGCCATTCTGGAGTTGACACTGAATGTGGAAAAAGACTGCCAGGCTTCATATTCTGTTACCAGAATAATCTTTTGGTCCAATTATGCAAATGCTCAGTCATATATTAGGCTTACTATCAGTATCTGGTTAATATATCTATTAATTATCAAATAAATATAACATTAGAGAAAACCTAGAAGAAGAAATGTATTTCTTGTGGATAAGAACCTGCTCTTAATGTGGCTACATAGTTCTGAGATCCCAAGTGTGAGATGTTATCATTGGTGCCTGCTGATCATGAGGGAAGGAGTGTTGAAATCACTCACATTTTAGCTAATAAATATGCCTGGGACTACTTTTTTTTTCTGTGAACCGAGGTTTCCTGTGGTTTTCTGTCTTTGACTCTTCATTCCATCTCTTATTCAGTGTTCATGTCTTTGGGATTTAAAGAATATATTTCCCAATTGTTAGCCACAGTACACTGTGTACACTTTGATAGTGATGGTGGCTTCACATTTTTATTCTTCTGTGTTAGGTCACTAGGAATTTCATTTCTGATGCATTCTGTACTATCCTACACCTCATTAGAAAAATAGTGGAAATTCTCATTGGTGACACTTTTTTAAGCCATAATTAGGTTTAAAATTATAAACATATGAACTGGGCCAATGCACTTTTCAGGTTTCAAAAGAAAAACTTAGCTCCAAACACTCCAATTGAAAAATGCAATTTCATCAAAAGGGGATGTTCGCCGTTTTTACTTCTGATGAGAGGGAATCGTTAATAGTAGTTGATAATCCGCCAACTGTGCAGGCCAGATGAACACATTTCATATGGAGAGAAGATTTCTGTGTTCAGATATCGCTTAAAGGTTCTCAAAGAATTACAAAGACTGAGGAGTTAGGAGAAATCTGATACCTTTTTTACAAAATTGACATAGTAATAACACACTAAAAGGTAACATTAAATTGATATGTAATAGAACATAACGGTTAATATTCTGGTTATCTGGTATATTGTATTGTATTCTATTGTATATTTTGAAATGGATAAATCAATTTAAATGAAATATATCTTAAAATAATTATCCTGTTTGTTGATATTTACAGTTGAAAATATTAACATCATGTTCTACAAACATAATGGAAATATTATTGATAATTTTTCTCACTGTACATGAAACTAGCATTGTTTTAATGTTTAACTTCAAAGAGTTTTTGCTATTTTGAAATCTGTGAAGTATTCTTACTGATAAAATAATTTCTTTCCTAGAAACACTGATAATCATTTCAAGTAAACTGATTCTTAGACAATGTACACAGATATATAATGTGTTTTGAATACTCTCACACTATATCATAGAAGGGCTTTTGAATATAATTTTAATGATTCCTCTTTAATATTTTATGCTATTTTATGAAATTCCCAAAGAATATTTTGTATGCTTTGAAACAATTTAGTACTCGATGTTAGATATAGGATTCTCAGTTATGGGTATTATTAAATATGCATTAATGATATTTTTAGGTTACAAAAGGATATGAATATAAAAGTCGAACAAATTTTTGATATATTACTTGATTCTCAAAATACTCAATATTATTAATATTTGATGTATAAATTGCATGTAAATAATAAAAAATTTTAAGGAGAATGTGTTATATATTTCATATGTGGTTTAAGCCATGCTTTTTTATTTATCAGTGGAATTACAACTCCAAAGTTATTTTATAGCAGTCTTATTCAACAGGACTGTAATCTAGTTCAAGGATGACAGAGATAAAATAATCTTTATCGATTTTCGCAAACACAAAATTTATCATACCATAGTGCCCTACATCTATGAATTCTTAAATTGTATGGCGCTCTAAAGATCTCTGATTGATGAGGCTTATTTCAAGATGTTTAGACAGAAATTCAGCATGTCTCACATTACCTACGTTACTGCAACTGAAAGTTTATGTTTCAAACATCTCCCTTAATCATCACTATGCCTTGTTCTAGACTATCAGCAAGAAAATATGAGTTTTTTCTGATAATGGTTTTTGCTACTGAGGAGATCAACAAGAATCCTTATCTTTTACCCAACATGTCTTTGTTATTCACCTTCATTGTTGGCCTATGTGATGATAGATTGGGAGTTCTGGATGAAATATATCCACAACAAAACAATAGTTTGTTTTTTGCTAATTATATCTGTGAATTAGAGCCAATTTGTGATGTAGACCTTACAGGACCATCACGGAAAACATCCTTCAAAATAGCAATTAATTCTAGGACACCAAAGGTAAGAATATGTGACACTGGAAGAATTAACTTTTAAATTTCATTTGCATGTGCCTACAACAAAACTTGGAGAGCATGCATTTATGTGTGTGCTGCTACACACATACACACACATATTGTGGAGAGATAGATAGATAGATAGATAGATAGATAGATAGATAGATACTTATATACATACATACATACATACATACATACATACATACATAGGTACATAGATATAGAGATATTATGAACTAAATAATTAAATCTGGGCAAACAGGGAAAACTGTTTTCTTGGACATTCAGACTTGTCAGATATAGTCTAGAATCTAATAAGAATAATACATGATATTTATAGTATAATTTTATTATCCTTAACAGGAGTTCTGAAGGTGAGTAACATTACCTGTATGTAAGTTCAAATATCCTAACAATCATATTCCTCATGTGGATGTTTCCTCTTCTCTTCTGCATCCTTTAGGTTTTCTTTGGGCCATTTAATCCTAACCTGAGTGACCATGACCAATTTCCCTATGTCTATCAGGTAGCCACCAAGTACACACATTTGTCCCATGGCATGGTCTCCTTGATGCTTCATTTTAGATGGACTTGGATTGGACTGGTCATCTCAGATGATGACCAGGGCATTCAGTTTCTCTCAGACTTGAGAGATGAAATGCAAATGTATGAGATCTGTTTAGCTTTTGTGAATATGATCCCAGAAACCATGCAAATATACATGACAAAGGCTAAGATATATGATAGACAAATTATGACATCAACAGCAAGGGTAGTTATCATTTATGGTGAGATGAACTCTACCCTAGAAGTCAGCTTTAGAAAATGGAGATATTTAGGTGCACAGAGAATCTGGATCACAACCTCACAATGGGATGTTATCACAAATGTAAAAGATTTCACCCTCGATTTCTTCCATGGGACTGTCACTTTTGCACATCACAAAGGTGAGATTGCTAAATTTAGGAATTTTATGCAAACAATGAACACTGACAAACACCCACTAACCATTTCTGACTCTGTCCTGGGATGGAATTATTTTAATTGTTCAATCTATAAGAACAGCAATAAAATGGTTCCCTTTACATCCATCAACACATTAGAATGGTTGGCACTGCACAAATATGACCTGGTCCTGAGTGAAGAAGGTTACAATTTGTATAATGCTGTTTATGCTGTGGCCCACACCTACCATGAACTCATTCATCAACAAGTAGAGTCTCAGAAAATGGCAGAACCCAAGGTATTCATTGACTGTCTGCAGGTAAAGTTTCTTATATTTCATTATGTTTAGATAAATCAATGTGATATTTTAAATGGACCCAGAGAAACAACTGTTCATTTGTTAGAGAGTATTCTCTCAGTGGAAAGATTTCTACATTGCAAGACTCCCTAGTGAATCTTTTACATGAGTAAATAGCATACACAATGATAACATTTAAATGGAAAAATACATTTTTATGAATATCAGGGAGTTTTCTGAAAACGTGTCTCAACATTTCACCAAATGAATTCAAAATTTAAAATAGGAGCCAAGAGTCTTATCATAAAAGCCTTAAGTGATGACTAGAATAGAATATTTTTCTAGAGAATAATTTCTCAAGAATAAGTATATGAGCTGGGCAGTGGTGGTGCACGCCTTTAATCCCAGCACTTGGGAGGCAGAGGTAGTCGGATTTCTGAGCTCGAGGACAACTTTGTCTATAGAGTGAGTTCCAGGACAGCCTGGGCTACACAGAGAAACCCAGTCTCGAAAAACCTAAATAAATAAATAAATAAATAAATAAATAAATAATAGGTACACGAGCTGGGATTAATAGTTATTCATCCAAATTAACAATTAATTACAAAACCATAAATGATTAAGACTGCACATTTTATTAACTTTGTGTTTTTTCATACATGTATACTGTATATACATGAAAGACCCAGAACCATTCTTAATTTTCACAACTAGGAGACATTCAGACTTCCCCTTCATTCACACATACATAGCTTCCTTTTTTTACAAAGTATTTTTGACAAACGTGCACACTACACACATACACAAACACACATACCATGTTACTTGATATCTGGTAATAATTTTTCTAGCATGTTTTATCATTGAACATTAGTATTAAGTATATTAATTTTTAATTATCCATAAGGTATATTGCATTTTCCTACACATGATTATGTTAATACAGCCATCTTTTCTGAAAGTCTTTAAAAAATTAGGTGACATTCTCAATTTGGCATTCTCTTTATTGATATGCATATGTAAGCATCTAATGATGCATCTCTTTTAGGTGGCTTCCATGCTGAAAACCAGGATATTTACTAACCCTGTTGGAGAACTGGTGAACATGAACGATAGAGAAAATCATTGTGCAGAGTATGACATTTTCATCATTTGGAATTTTCCACAAGGCCTTGGATTAAAAGTGAAAATAGGAAGCTATTTTCCTTGTTTCCCTCAGAGTCAACAACTTCACATATCTGAAGACTTGGAGTGGGCCTCAGGAGGAACATCAGTGGGTATACCACAATTTGTATTGTTTTCAGGATATCTAAATTTTAAAATATGGGGCACTGAAGTAAGAGCTCTCTGGTTAAGACCAATTCCTACTCTTGCAAAAGACCATCCTCAGCTCCAATTACCAAAATTTGATAGCTCTCAATTTCATGTAAATCTGGTCACCAGGATCAAAGGCTCTGAATTCCATGTTCAGTTGCACCCACATGCCTATTCAACCACATGACACAGGAATATATTTATTAAATGTATAGTAATACTTATATATAATTAAAATTTTGTAACTATAAATAAATCACAGAATTTTCTGATTTTATGTGAACATATTTATAGTCTAAGTACAGCACATGTTTATTAACCGAAATCTTTCTCCAGATTCAAGGGGTTTCATATATATATATTTGGTTATTTTATTTATTTATTTATTTTATATACATTTTAAATATTACCAGCATTCCCAGTTTTCCCTTCTCTGTGGAGGATTCCCTTATCTGGCATCAGTAGGAGGGGAGGCCCTTGTTCCTATGAAGACTTGGTTCCCCAGCAGAGGGAAAGGCCAGGTTGGTGAGTCAGGAGTGGCTGGGTGGGTAGGAGAGCTCCCTCATAGAAGTAGGGGGTCGATGGGATGGGGGTTCAAGCTTTTCTTTTAAACTTAGGGAAACTTCATTAATTTCATGAGTCTTATATAACATATTTTGTTCATACTCATCAAACAACTCATCCTTGATTTACCTACCTTCTCTCTCCATACAACCCAGTGTTCTTATTTTTTTATTTATAAATCATTATAGAGAAACTGTTGCTAAATAAACATTCCTTTTGAATTAATCAGTTTAGGAAGGAAAAATTTTAAATTGCTACAACTTGAATGTTACATATATAATATTACATGATATATAAATATATTGTGACATTCAGTGCATTGCAAGGTAATACAAAATAAAAGTGTCCCTGAAATTTTTAAGTAATACTGGTTATCAGAGGAATATTTATAGCCATATACTTTAATGTCCCTTATAGCAATCTATGGGTCATTATACACATGATGTATACATGAACTACACACACACACAAACACTATATATAATATATATTGCCTCAGGTTCCCTCCTCCATGTGTAGTGTGACATGCACTACTGGATTCAGGAAAATTCATCAGAAAGAAACAGCAGACTGCTGCTTTGATTGTGTCCAGTGCCCAGAAAATGAGGTTTCCAATGAAACAGGTACATGCTTGCATGCGGAAGAGAAATTGCTGAATTCGAATACCTTCTCATTCCAAACCAGAAATGTGGTATGGCCTAGACGGAAACTGAAGACCTAAACTCTCATGTTTCAGAACTTAATCAGTTAAATAATATCAACTTCTTTTGAACCCAGCAAATAATATGCAATATATTCTACAAACAACACATTTCTTCCACAATATGATGGTTACTGAGTTTATATTAAGACCAGATGCTCAGGGTAACAATTATTGTTTAATGAAATATATTTTAAGAGCTTAGATGGCTTAAAGGATTAATCATTTCTTGTCAAAGAATTAGAACAAAAGTGAAGATTTCAAGAATGCAACAATAGAGGGGATAGTGCTTGTCATCAATCACAGCCTAGCTAAGGAAAGAGGGATGAATGTGAACATCCAAAACCTTCATGCCATACAGCTTTGAATGTGTAGCTGGGAAGAAAGAGAACTTACCACAATGAGAGGGACATGGATTTGTCTGGGAGGCATACAGTTTCAAGAATGAAAGTATTACTTTATGCAAACAGTATTTGCATGAGTAATTCTATGCTCTGGTGCCTTTGTGTAGATATAGACAAAGGGCACAACTCTAAAAGAAAACAAAGCACATAATGTATTTCATCAACTGGCATCAATAACTATGTCTGCACACTACTCTTGTCTGTGAGTAGTGAATTTATGGTTTGAGGATTTTAATAATCTGAGATAATGCATATTACTCATCATCATATTTTTCCTTATGTTTTGTTTCATAAATAATGATTTTTTTCTGTTCCATTCCCTATGATGATGATTTGTTCCATCACAAAGCATGGGTTAATAGAGAGCAATCTTAAATCAGTGGTCCCTATAGCAATAAGGAATAAAATAGATGCTCAAAACCAAATTATATGTAGATATATCCTATGAATAATGCAAATAGACAATTGTTGTCTACATAGTTATGATACATCATAAGGGTTTATTGTTGTTCACCAGCAGATATGGAAGAGTGTGTGAGGTGTCCAGATGATAAGTATGCCAACTTAGAGCAAACCCACTGCCTCCAAAGAGCTGTGTCATTTCTGGCTTATGAAGACCCAGTGGGTATGGCTCTAGGCTGCATGGCCCTATGCTTCTCGGCCATCACAATTCTAGTACTAGTCATTTTCGTGAAGCACAAAGATACTCCTATTGTGAAGGCCAACAACCGCATTCTCAGCTATATCCTGCTCATCTCTCTCATCTTCTGTTTTCTGTGTTCATTGCTCTTCATTGGACAACCCAACCAGGCCACCTGCATCCTTCAGCAAACCACGTTTGGTGTATTTTTTACAGTGGCTATTTCTACCGTGTTGGCCAAAACAATAACTGTGGTCATGGCTTTCAAGCTCACTACCCCAGGGAGAAGGATGAGAGGGATTATGATAACAGCAGTACCTAAGTTGGTCATCCTCATTTGTACCCTAATCCAACTTGTTTCCTGTGGAATCTGGTTGGTAACATCTCCTCCCTTTATTGACAGAGATATACAATCTGAACATGGGAAGACCATCATTATTTGCAACAAAGGCTCAGTCATTGCTTTCCACTTTGTCCTGGGATATTTGGGCTCCTTGGCTCTGGGGAGCTTCACTGTGGCTTTCTTGGCTAGGAACCTTCCTGACAGATTCAATGAAGCCAAGTTCCTAACATTCAGCATGTTGGTCTTCTACAGTGTCTGGATCACCTTCCTCCCTGTCTACCACAGCACAAGAGGGAAGATCATGGTGGTTGTGGAGGTCTTCTCCATCTTGGCTTCTAGTGCAGGGTTGCTAGGGTGTATCTTTGTCCAAAAATGTTACATTATTTTATTTAGCCTAGAGTCAAATTTTCTTCAGAATTAAAATGAGAAATTGCTATATCGAAAGTGTGGTACTTTAAAAATATTAGATGATACTAGACAAATCTGTTTTGCTTTGTCTTTACAAAAGTATTCCTAAATCATAAAATAGTTAAGTAATATATAAACAAAGTACTTAAACCATAGGGTAGCACTGCCTAAAGTAATACCAATTAGTAAGTTTTGGTGGAAAATGGATTCTTTCATGAGCTCATAAACTTAAACATATTGAGAACAGGAAATCTCAACTGAGGGCTGGCTACCATCACTTTGGCTTGTAGGTATGAGTATAAACAATGTTCCTAATTAATGATTAGTATAAGAAGACCCTGCTCGTGAACAGTGCTGCCTGTAAGCAAGTTATTCTGGGAGTCATAAGAAAGAAGAGTGTAGATGGGATAGACATGAAACCAGTAATCAACATTATTCCATGGAATTTGATTGTGTTCCTGCATCCTCGTTCTTTGGCTTCTTTCAATTAAGTGCAAGCAAGGAACATAGGGAAATAACACTTTTCTCATATATTCCTTTTGATCATAGCCTTTTGTTACAGCAACAGAAATGAACTGCCTCAACTACAAATTAGTAAATTGCCACATTTGAGATTTGGAACATCATAGATTACTGATGCAATAAAAAGCATTTTAGTACCAATTTGTATAGAACAACACCACCTCTCAGGGCTCAGGCATTGGTGTGGAAAAGTGGGTCAAAAAGTATAAATGGCAAGGTTAATGGGTGATGTCAACAAAACAGTGTCATTAAGACAGAAAAGGACTAATAATCGTATGAACTCACAGAGATTTCTCAGCATTCATAAGATCTACATACGATCAAGTTATATATTGTCCCTGTATTAACAAAGAGACATAGATAATGACAAACACATTATAAATTTAGAATACATGGCAATTTCTGTCAAGGAAAATTCTTTTGTTACCTTGAACTTAAATATGATTCCCTTTGATACACTCTATATTGATGTTACATCACCTGAAAAACAAATTGAAGAAAGAAAACACAAATATCTTTAAACAAATGAGGTGGCACCAGGAGATATCCTAAAGGATCTCCTACACTCCAGATATAAAACATGTGATCTCCGTTTTCTGCCTATTGTCACACTTCTCTGGCTGTGAAGTAAATTTGTTGGTCTGGTGGATTAATGTGCCAAATATCTTTTTGCAGAATTATACTTGACTACTGAGCATATCCTCAGCAAAGATCAACTTTTGACGAGCATTTACTTGGGGCACGGATATTTTCACATCCTTCAACCATTTGTTAAGGTCTACACATATGCTTCTTCCCCATATGCCTTTGTCGCCAATGTTCTTCTTTTCTATTTAATTTAATTATTTTATCTTTCTATTTCCTCTTTGTGATATCACATCATGTATCCCCAAAGGTCCATTTGATAAGGCATATGCAAAATATTGTGCTGGTTAGTTTTTATCACCTTGATACAAATTAGAGTCACTTGACAGAAGGGAATGTGAACATGACTTTAAGGCATTTTCTTGATTGATTATATATGTAGCAGGACCCAACCCAATGTGGGCAGGGCTATTCTTAGCTCATTAGCCCTGGGCAGTACAGAAAAGCAGGCTGAGCAGGCCAGTAATATGTGTTACTCCATGGTCTCCTTCAGTTCCTGCCCAAGTTTTCTCTATGACAGACTATAACCAGGATGCCAAATGAGCCCTAAAATTTCCCAAGTTGCTTTTGTTAGTGTTTTAGCAGAGCAACAGAAATCAAATTGTAGCTTGTTGCTAAATTCGATACAAATCAAGGCTGAGTCTTAAGTACAAAACAATATGATTGAAGTATTTTTTCTAACGTAATTTCTTTTTAATGAAAACACAATGATCAAGCCAAGCATGGTGGTACATGACAGTAACTTGCTCAGTTGAGAGGCTGAGGCAACAATGGATTATGAGACTTTCTCAGAAAACAAAGACAAACTCAGGCTTTGTAATCCTAGATCTGATGGTATTTGTTAGCATTGGTTCCTGTAAGGCAAAGGACACTGACAACTGGACAAAACAGAAACCAAGATTAGGGAAAGACTATTACCAATAAACAATATATACAAAGAATTCAAGAAGTTAGACTCCAGACAACCAAATAACCCTATTAAAAAATGGAATACAGAGCTAAACAAAGAATTCTCAAATGCCAACCAACCAGAGCTCCCAGGGTCTAAACCAACAGCCTGGGAGCACATAGGGAGGGACCCATGATTCCAGCTCTATAGGTAGGGGAGGATGGCCTTGTCAGGCATAGGTGGGATCCTTGGTCCCATGAAGGCTGGACATTGAGTGTGCGGGAATTCGAGGGTGGGGAGGTGGGAGTGGGGGAGTGGGTGGGGGAACATCCCCATAGAAGCAGGAGGAGGGGGGATGGGATAGGGGATTCCTGGGAAGGAGGGAAATGGGTAAGGGGATAACAACTGAAATGTAAATAAAATATCCAATTAAAAAAAAAAGAGTATCGAATGGCAGAGAAGCACCTAAAGAAACGGTCAACATCCTTGTCATCAGGGAAATGCAAATCAAAACAACCTGAGATTCCACCTCACACCAGTCAGAATGACTAAGATTAAAAACTCAGATAACACCAGATGCAGGAGAGTATGTGGAGAAAGAGGAACACTCCTCCATTGCTGGTGAGATTGCAAGCTGGTACAACCACTCTGCAAATCAATCTGGCAGTTCCTCAGATTATTAGAAATAGTTTTACCTGAAGACCCAGCTATACCACTCCTGGGCATACACCCAAAAGATACTCCAACATATAACAAGGACACATGCTTCATTATGTTCATAGCAGCCTTACTTATAATAGCCAGAAGTTGGAAACAATCCAGATGTCCCTCTAAGGAAGAATGAACACAGAAAATGTGGTATATTTACACAAAGCTTTTTAAAGGCAAAGGACACTGTCAATAAGACAAATTGGCAGCCCATAGATTGGGAAAGAATTTTCACCAATCCTCCATCTGATAGATAATTAATATTTAAAATTTACAAAGAACTCAAGAAGTTAGACACCAACAACCCAAATTACACAATTAACACAATTTAAAAGGGGTTACAGAAGTAAACAAGGAATTGTCAACAAAGGAATCTCAAATGGCTAAAAGCACTTAAAGAAATGTTCAATCTCCTTACTCATCAGAAAAATGCAAATCAAAACAGCTCTGAAGTTCTATCTTACACCCATCAGAATGGTTAAAATCAAAAACTCAAGAGACAGCACATTGTGCCAAGTATGTGGAGCAGGGGACCCGCCTCCACTGCTACTGGGAGTACAAACTTGTACAACCACTTTGAAAATCAATGTGGCATTTTCTCAGAAAACTGGCAATAGTTATACCTCAAGACCCAGGTCTACCTCTCCTGGGAATAGCATATACCCAAAAGTTACTCTGACATCTCACAAAGACACTTGCTTTAGAATGTGCAGAGCAGCTTTTTCATAATATCGAGAAACTGTAAACAACCTAGATGACCCTCGACTGAAAAATGGACAAAGAAAATGTGCTACAGTGGCATACTTTTCAGCTGTTAAAGCACAAAGCATCATGAATTCTACAGACAGATAGATGGAACTTGTGAAGATCATCCTGAGTGAGATAACCCAGTCTCAAATGAAAATGCATGCTATGGACTCACTTATAAGTGAACATTAGCCAAAATACAGGTACTATGTTATACTCCACAGCCCCAATGACGCTAAACAGGAAAGAAGACAGGCCCAATCAAAGAATCTTGAGTCTCACTTAAAAGGGGAATAAACTAATCATAAGAGCCAGATGGAAGGAAGAAGAACACTGGGAGGAAGGAAGATGGGGAAGGAATGGGAAGTGTTCAGAATCAGGTGTAGGAAGGGCAGGAGAGAAGGCTAAATGGCCATGAACATGAATGGAAATCTGAAGTCTCAGACTATTAATCACTGAATCATTGTTCAAGTACACACAGTTTTTAAGAAAATTTTTGTCATTTATAATCAGAAAATGTTTAAATCAATACCTACATACATGAAATTTAAATATACCATCAAAGCAAGTGAAGCAGCAGTTGAAGCTGTTAATTACTTTTTTAACTGTGTTAATGTATGAATGTCAGTGTATGTGCACAATGGGCAGGTACATGTGGAGGCCAGAAGTGCATGATGAGTTTACAGACTGGAGATACATGCTGCTGCAACCCAGTACACATAGAATCTGTGATGTGAACTCCAGTCCTCTGGAAGAGAACTACATATTCTTAAAGACTGAGTCATTCATTTCCCCACTGTAATACTGTTATTCTTTAAAATAATAAACAGTTCTATCGATGTATATCCCACATAGTTTCATCTGTAAATAGAGTAGTCTTAGCTTCAAAATATCTACATAAGAACAAAATTTAAAAATAAAACTAAGAATAATGTATTATAAAATCCTGCTATACCAGCTGAAAATATTTGTTCTGTGGCTCACAGTTGGAGGAGATATCTGACTCTATGACCTTCAATAGTATGCAGTAAGGCCAATTGAAACATTTCTGGAACTCAGGAGGACTGGACACCTGTAGACTTTTCAGTTTCAAGGGCTTGCATGACTTCTGTGGAGCAATGACTGGGACAACTGACAATGGTGGTACCAGTGGTCTCCATACTGAACCACCCCATCTGAAATACTGAGCATTTTGGGGGAAATCTATATGTAGTTGAAATACTTAGTGTTTTGCTGTGGAGTTTTAAGTAACTTCTGAAAATCGGTTCTGATTAATGTTTGTTCTCTGGGTATATTCTGAAGGCGTTGCACCTGTGCTTGCAAAGTTGTTCCACTAGCTGGCTGTCCCAGATCTGATTCAGAAGTATCCAGCCTCATTGTAAGTAGTATAGTTTTTATAGTTTCCATGTGGCTCATTTTTAAAGTGTGCTCTGCTCCCTTGGGTCCAAAGACTTAGAAAATGAATTATTATTCTAAGAAAATGAGTTGTCTTTCTTCAACAA